TCAACCAACAAGTAATGAATTCCAGGGAATATAGTTGGACTCCTGAAAACACACCGTCTGTTCCTGTATCAGCCTATATCCATTTATTCAAGTTTTGTCATTATTATTGTCTCTGTGCTGTTTGGGTGTGACAGGAAACATGCTGGAGTGGTGTCTGCCCAAAGACATGGACCTGGAGGGAGTGGAGTTCAAAGCCATTGCCAGCGGCTCCCACCGAGTCAGCACAGACTTCATGTAAGGATCAGTATCTGTGTCTCTTACACTCTTACACAGCCGAGTCGCTAATTTTAAGTATTAGGATGCACCCCCATGTCCTCATCCTGGCAGGACAGAGCCGAGGAAAGTGTTGCCTGACAAAAAAAAAAAAAAAGGAACAGCCATCTGGCAGCATCTTTGCTTTTTCATGACTCACGGCCTCATCTGTGTCCCTCTCCCCTCTTTCCACAGCTACTTCCGTAAGGGCTGCTACTTTGGCCTCGCCTGCTTTGCCAACATGGCAGTGGAGAGCACGGTGGAGAGGGGGGCCAGGATGAAGTCGGTTGGGATCCTGTCTCCCTCCTACACCCTGCTCTACCGCTACATGAGCTTCCTGGAGCACCAGGTCAGGTAAGAGCACTGAGCTTGTACAATGGAGAGCTCTGCTCATCAAGATCTGTGACTTTCTATCAGCGAAACATTTAGACCAACCAACTGAGCGTATTTTTTAGTTTTTTAGTAAAAAAATAGAAAATAGCATATTTTTGGGAATTGTGGGTCACTTATTTATATTGCATGTTTAAAAGCAACAGAAGTTTACCCAAAGTGCACATGAATTAACAATGTAATTATCCCTGCAGTGTGCAAGCAGGGGGCAGGGAGGGGGGGGTTGTTTTCCTATCTGTTTTTGGCCCAGCACCTATCCCCTTTCTTTGGTAGGGGTGTGCATGTATTTTTCTAGCTTTCATAATAATTTGAATAGAGAATACTTCAACTACAGTTGAGAGAAATATAAAACCCCTACCGAACGGACACAAAATGCAAAGGAAACTTTTTCAAAGACAGTGGAAATTGGAGTTATGTGATGCCTATTTTGAACTGGTTTAAGGCCAGTGAGTGAGTGACTTTTAGTTTATGATGAAAAGAGTTGACTTTCGTTTTAATCGACTGTTCAAGTTGAACTCTAAGAAAACTGGTTTGAAAATTTAAAAGGACCTAAAAGGGAACCCTGTGGTACACCTCAATTAATGTTACTTGTACACAACATGTAATTACCTGTAGTGACTGAATGCAGTGTTGATTAAAAGTCTTGACTTGACTAGCCAGACTTGTAATTTTTTAATGTCTGCTTAAACAATAGTTCTGCAGGGTTTCTGAAGGTCTTTCAACACATTTCTTTTGGAGTTTCACTGCTTTTTTACTCATTTTTAGTCCTTGTACCCAACCGTTTCAGGGGAATGTTTTTAAGCGACTTGACACTTTTAATTACTCAACTATCTAAACAGATTAACCAGAGTTTTGTCAAAGCATAACACCCATCTTCAGATACTTTTGTTATCAGCAGCACGTCACATAACACATATTTTGTTCACATTTTTTTTGTTGAATCTACAAAAATGCCAGAGATAAGCTTGAAATAAGTTTGCAAACTAAGTCAATCACAAAGGGTCGTTAGCTGAAAATTTGGCATATCATGGCACTGTGTGCAATGCGTCCTTAAAAAAATCTGAGGAAACTGGATAAGTGAAGGAGAGGAGAAGAAGTGACAGGGCTGAAAACGAAATGCAGCAGACAAACAGAATCTGAAAGTCATGTCCTCAAGAAATCCAGTAACACAGGACCTGAGACATGTTCCCAGACCTGCAGTCGATCTGTTCACTGAAGCCTCATTAGGGTGGCTGTCAGGAATCTCTGTCTCAGGCAGAGATTAAACAAGAACTGGACTCAAGGTCAGTGTCAACATTTTCAAATTCCAGATGAACAAATGATAAGAAAGCTTACCTTAGAGAGTTCAGGCTAAAGAATAAAGGTGGGCATACCAAATATTAACTTTAAATCAAGAATTTGTATAATATAAAGTATTTCTTTTTATGATTGGATGTTACAATAAATTCCTGCACCTATTACCAGCTGTTCTATTAAAAAAAAACTATAAAGAAATGAGTACGCAGTACTGTAGGCTCTTTTTGGTCACTTGTTAATAATCCAGATAAATGAAAGGATAAATATATCAGAAGAAGGTTTTGATCAGACCACATGTCTTCTCCCAGAGAATACGTATGTCCTGATCTCAGATCAGATGTTTAAATGTCCATGTTTCAAGTCAGTGTTTCTCTCAGATCAATCGATAAGATAGTGAGAAGTCATAAATTCAGCAAATCTTCCATTTGCTGCAATGAGTTATTCATTGCTCGATAAATGTTTGTTGCTATATTGTGTCTTTATTAGAGATTAGACTCACGCTGGGTCAGTATGATTATTCACAGCCAAATGTAGCATCAAGAAAATTCTGTGTTGAATATTTTTGCTCACTAGAATAACAAACGGTTTAAAAAGATTATCACTAAGTGTCCTACAAAGAGACAACATCAGTGTCTCTACAGCTATTTTTGGTATGTGGAATTGAATCTTGTGCTTGGCAACAATGAAGTGCTAATTTTCACCTCGCTTCACTGTTAATCTGTGCAGTTGTGCAGAGTGCCGTGCAACATGCTCTGAACAGAGATACCCTCAGTCCACGTGCACAAAGACTAAATTGGCACAGGACCAGGCTTCCTTGTTGATCCTCTGTCATGTGATCTGTACCAGTGTATCCCGTAAAGTCTTATCGCCTATAGTTCACCTCTCATTGTTATCACACAGTGCAGTTTTGAGACTTTTTAGACATCAGACCTACTAGATTTAATATTTAATGTCAATCAGGCAGATGAGACTAAAGGCTAAACGATCGTTTCTGTATATCATTATTTCATTAATCACCAAAAAAAAAAAAATCAGTAGCTTAACAGTGAGCATTCAGTGTCCATGTTTCCTTTCTGTGCTGAAACAAGTCTGAAAAGATGTAATCATAAGAAATTTCTGCCCGATGTGGGTGTGCAAACTTGGCTAGTGGGAACACCCTTAGCACACAGACACACCTGGTGCACACTGGTGTGTTTGCTGTCGAGCAGCTGCACAGGGAGCAGTTTGGCGTTAAGGACAACGTGGAGGAGCAGGCGACGCCGTTTTACTTCCACCGCTCAGAACCGCTCGATCTCTTCTATACAAATAAGTGAGAGCTCTACATGCAACAGAAGACACGGGCTTGCTTACAGCAACAGCTCGCACTTTCCATGCTTCCTGTTTTCTCTGAAAAGAAGCACATTCCTCCAGACAACACTTCACTTCCCTTTATTGTTACTAGTGGTGTGCACACTTTTACTCCAGTAAACACTGCCACACTTCCTCCTCAGCAGCTCCTCCAACACGTCTCCCTCTGTTCTCGGACTCTCTTTCTCCCCGCTTTCCCTGGCAGTCCTCTCTTCCTCTTTCCACAGTTCCCACACCCTGGCCTCTCCTGGCCTCCAGTCATGCAGCGGTCATGCTCTTTACTCACCAATTCCAACATAGCTAACACCACATTCCCCATCTGCTGGCTGCCATTGTTGTCATCTGTTTCTTACATAATGGCCTCTCTTGCTGGTCACAAGGCAATTAAGATATTTAGCAATTTGCGAAGAGTTTATCCCGTTTTCCCCCCTCGCTCGCTCACTGCTTTTTTAAACATGTTCTGTTATTTGTTTTCTCTTTGCACTCGCAGCTGGTGGAACTTATTAGTTTTGCAGGGCGAAGCTAAAAAAAAAGAAAGGTGTGATGAATGAAATTGTGTCATTTCATAGAGTAACTGCAGCCTGAAAACTCTAAGCAACTCCCACTGCAACACAAAACACATTAAAACCATTTACAGGTGATAAATGTGACCCTTTATCTTGTAGTAAAACCCAACAGTGGAGCCAGAGCGACTAGAATTCTGCCTTGATTTGAGATTAAGCACAAACAGCTACTTGATAAGTACTTACCCTGCGTGATGAAGTTAACCTTTGAGGCCTTTAATAAGATTCATTGCTGAAACTACTGTTTGACTAGTTGAGTCACAGAAAATGAATCCACAGTAGGTTTACAACAACAATAACAAAAAAGATTTATCAGGCCAAAAAGGAGCATTTGGTGATTTTAGTTTCTAATTTGGAAAAAAAAGACAATATTAAATCATTTCTGAGGTTCAGGAGTTAAGAAAC